CCGCCTGTGGCGCGGTTGCGGCTGGAGACGTTGCAGCACGCGTTCCTCGAGTGCCCGGCTGTGCGCCCGGCTTTGGAGTGGCTGGCGCGGGTGTGGCCGCGGATCGACGGCGGCGGTCCTCCCCCGCTCACCGCGGAGGTGTGGCTGCTGGGGGTCTCCACTACGTGGCAGCCGCAGGGCCGTGCTCTCGCGCAGCTGTGGCGCACGCTGCGCGTGGCGCTGCTGGCGGCGGCGTGGCAGCTGCGGACCCGTCGTGAAGCGGCCGGGGAGCAGTTCACCGCCGCGGACGTCTGCGCCGCCTTCGTCGAGGACGTTGGCTGCATGGTGCACGCAGACTGGCAGCGGGTGAAGGACTCCGTCACGGACATGGCCGGGGCCCATGCAAGCTGGTTCCCTAGGGGCCGCAAGGAGATGAGCGTTGTCGACTTTGAGGTCGCGTGGTGTGCCGGCGGCGTCATTGCCCATGTGACACATGGGGGCTCCCAGCCTACGATGGCGTTCTGGCTGGACGGCGAGCTGCCGACTGCGGGGACTGCTGTTGGGCAGGCTTCAACGTCGGCGGCGGCGGCAGCTACGGGGGCGGTGGCTGCGGCTTTGGCGGCGGCGGCGACGGCTACGGCGGCGACGGCTGCGGCGCCGGCAGCGGCAGTGGCGGCAGTGGGAGTGTCAGCGTTGGCAGCAACGGCGGTGGGGACAGAGGCGCGGGCAGCTTCGGCTGCGGAAGCGGCGGTGATGGCGGCGGCGGCGGGGCCCCCGGTAGTGGCCGGGCTGCCGTAGCTAGCTCTGTGGGGGGCACACAGTTGCTGCACTTTCCTTTAGCTTCATGCACCCGGACATGTGTTCTTTCTATACATGTCATTCCTCGGTCTCGCATTAATCGCGGTCTCGCACGGGCCCAGCGGGCGTGCCGGCCTGGCAGGCTGTTTCTTGTCCTGCATGGAAGGTGAGCTCACTCCCCCTCGGCCCGGGCCGCTTTCGAGGTGGGGGGACAGGGCTGGCCAGGCGTCGGCCTGCGGGCCCAGCGGTTTTATTTCCCGGGTTTCCCCGCAGCCGCAGCCTTGCTCACGGTCCCGCAATGATCACTGCTCGCTCTCACGTGGCATTGCGCGGTGTTTTTCGCCCGGTGTACGGCCCCCCGGCGGGGGCATAGTTTCCTCGTAAGTCCTTGAGGGGCTGGGGGCCTCGCTCCGGCTGCCAGCTTGTGGTCCCACCACGCGCTGGCGGCGACGCCGTGTCTGGGGCGGGCTCGGGCGGCCGCAACTGCGCAGGTGTCGTCAGTCTCTCGTGTAACTTCACATGTATAAAAAAAGTCTCAGTTGTCGACTTTGAGACGGCGTGGTGTGCCGGCGGCGTTGTGGCTCACGTCACGCACGCGGCGGGCGGACGGCGCCCGCGGATGGAGTTCCGCCTTGCTGCCCCCACGGACAGCGACATGGCGTGACAATGTGCAGCCCCGCGTTCTTGCGCGCGCTTTTTTTTAATAGACAGTCGGTTACACGGGGGTATCGAGGTGCCGAGCACCTGCGTGCAACCTAGATATTAACAGGTGAGCTGTGGCCATGTGCAAGGGAGCCCAACGCGCGACATGCGCGAGGGGCGTGAGCAGGGCCGATATGGCACCGGGGGGAAACCCTCCAAACC